GAAGGGTTAGGCCCGAACACAAAAACTTCCCGACCAAGCCGTAAACTAAAATTCATGTGTAGTAATGCAAAGAGTATAGTATCAAAGCTCGATGAGCTGAATATTCACCTCCGTGAACTATCTACAGATGTAAATTCCCTTACCGAAACTTGGTTGCCCCATCACGTGGACGACCGCGAGGTAGCTATGCCTGGCTACGAGTTTTTTCGGTAAGCCAGGGAAGGGCATCAAGGAGGTGGCGTACTCAAATACGTGAGAAGTGGGCTCATGGTATTGGACAAACCAGATAAAATAACGTGCAGTTCAGAAGCGATCTAGCTATCCGTAAAAGCACGAGGATCATCAAGTTTCGATATCTTGACGTTCTACTGACCACCGAGAAGGAATCCCGGAGATGATGCCTCTTTGCTAGAGAAACTCGAAAAGATTTCTACACGGTCAGATATCCTGATCGTGGGCGACTTTAACGCAGTACACATCGACTGGAGCTCGGCCTGTGCACATGGCTCCAGAACAGCCTTTGACAGTTGCCTTTTGAGCATGACGATAAATTTATTTATCACACAACACGTCACGTTTCCAACGATGGTGCGCAAAGGCAACAGGCCAATTGTTTGGACCTCATTCTCACGAAATCACAGGACAACATCGAAGAAGTGTCCTGCCTTCCGCCTCTAGGTAAAAGCGACCACGTTGTACTGCTATGGGAGTACTCGCTCTTTCCGATACCCGAGATACCCACAACAGTTAGAAGAAATATATGGCGAGGCAATTTCGATCAAATGGGCGCCGAACTCACGCGCACAGAATGGGGATCTATATTATCTGGTAACATAATCCAGGACTGGGAAACGTTCAGGGACATATTGCCCAGGCTTATCGAAAATACTTGCCCGCCTTTCGAGGAAAAGGTTGACCAACAGACCGCGATGGCTTACGCAGACCTTAAGAACAGAAGTCAATACAAAGCGACGAATGTGACAAAAATAGCTGTCGGACAGGGCTTCTGAAGCTGTAAGTGCATACAAATCTCAGAGGGATCAGGTCAAGCGGCTTATACTTGGAACAAGACGAAACTCAGAATTGGACCTGCTGAACCGTGCCACCGTGAACCCCAGACTGTTCCACAGTAACATTAGGCAAAGCACTCGTAACGAGGATCTGATACCCCTGCTGAGGACCGCCGAGGTTGTAGGCCTTAAGGAATACAAAGCGAAAGAAAGAAACGTTATACGATTACCCCGCCGACGACTCCAAAGCGGGTATGATAGTTGACACTGTTCAATTCAGCGAGGGTATGGTCCCTAAGGAACTGTGGCGGTTAAAGGAATGTAAGTCACTGGGTCCAGCACGGCTTGATGGTAAGTTATTAGATGTGCCTTCCCAAGATTGTAAAAGTTAGACTCCCTCGTCTATCTGATAACCACGGAAGCTTCTGATAGACAAAAGCGAAACTATAACTTTATACTAAAAATGCCTCCGCACTAAGTCGCCCTTTTGATATTGCGAAAGATTTTCTAGTTTCGGGTGGGTTCAACTACGAAATTGCGGAAGCAAGGCGCCTACTATCGCGTAGCAAGAATCCACCCATCCTACTTAAATTGTTTTCACCGACCGAGGTGGACTCAATTTTTGCTCAACGAGGTCGCATTTCTCGATATTTGGAAATGACTAAAAGTTTTCTCTGCAGAGATCTTACACCAATGGAGCGAAGAAATGCGGCTCTCAAGTCAAATAGATCAATGACTTCTCAGCCTACTATTCACAAGTCTGGTCGTAGTCCCGATAGC